CTACTTCTGGGGTCTACCAGCTGAGCCCCGAGGCTGTCTGTTGGAGCCAGAAGAGCAGTGATTCTGGTTCTTCTGGGGACATCTCTGCCCTGGGCTTTTCTGCTTGATTCAGCAAGAACACCTACTGTGTGCATGGTGAACACGAATGAATGAATGAATGACCAATGTACCAGACACTGTGCTGGGGACCAAAAGACAGGTCAGACACAGACTTTTGTCCTCCAGGAGCTCAGTCTAGAGAGGCAGCTAGCCACAGATCCCAGGGAGGAAGAGTAGTGTGTGTGTGCATGTGTGTATGTGTGCATGTTTGTATATGTGTATATGTGTGTGCTCGAGCACACTCTCAGTGCACATACGTACCCCTACCTTAGTCCTGGCTGCAAGGGGATATTATCCTGGGTAATGCAGGATAATGAGGATGCATTCTCAGTATCCTCAGTATGGCAGGGGCTTCAGTTGGGCAATCTGACATGGGGTGGAGTGGTTTAGGAGGTTGTACAAAGAGGAGGAAGGAAGGGAGCAGTGCCCAAAGATGGTGCCTGCCATGTGCCACATGCCCCGCCAAGGCATCACATGCCCCAGCTTCCTGGCTTGTCAACACCTCTTTGAAGGAGGACAGGCCATATTCTGGCTGAGGCACTTGAATATCAGACAGGTTATGTCACAGACCACACAGGCAGTAAACTATGAGCCAACTTGAGCCTAGCTCTACTGGTCTCTGAAGGTCAGGTCTGCTTCCCAAGGCCACTCCTGGGTCTTCTCCGCTCCGCTCCTCCTCGCACATCTTGGTTGTTACAGGAGGAGGCCTGGAGCTGAGGGCGAGTGTTCCCTGGGCCTCAGTTTCCTCATCCACTAAAAGAGGGATAATAAAAGTAGTTATCTCATAGAAGCATCCAGTGAAGCACTTGAGACCTGGGTGCTGGAGACTTGGTAAGAGCACCACAAATAACAGCCATTCCGCTTGTCTTTATTTGTCCTTAGGGCTCCCATGGACTGCAGGGCCTGCCTGCCCCGCTCCTAGCCCAGCGCCTCTGGCCTGACTTTGGAGAGAGGCGAGGCCTGCGCTGCCTTCATCCTGAGGAGACTCGGACTTCACCGACTCCTGCTGCAGCCCTGATTGTGGGTGAGGCCGGTAGTGACAGGTGAGGAAGACCAATTTCCCCAGTGTGGAGCAGAGTGAAGGAAGCAGTGACTCACCAACCACAGCAAAGCCTATCTCCCCCAGAGGAAACAGTGGCGAGAGAGCGAATGCACTTGGGTGAGTTTGGGGGCACGCACCAGCGGAGGGCTGGCATGGGCTGCTGGGGAATCGGGGTGCGCCTGGTTGGGCTACCGTGCCCGGTCAGTGGGATCAGTGGGAGGCGGGGATAGGGCCCCTTGGGGGTGGGGATTGTACGTATCACTGTAGGGAGCCATGGGGTGGGGGCAGAGGGACCCCTCCCCTTCCAAAGTTTCTGCCTCATTCTTCCCTTTTCGCCTCCGGGGACTGAGGGTGTCTAGGGCTTGGGAGAAGCTCACGATTGAGTCGACACTCTGCTTTTTTTTTTTTGGTACGCGGGCCTGTCACTGTTGTGGCCTCTCCCGTTGCGGAGCACAGGCTCCGGCCGCGCAGGCTCAGCGGCCACGGCTCACGCGCCCAGCCGCTCCGCGGCATGTGGTATCTTCCCGGACCGGGGCACGAACCCGCGTCCCCTGCGTCGGCAGGCGGACTCTCAACCACTGTGCCACCAGGGAAGCCCAGGACAGTCTGCTTTTTAAGGGCTCAACCATTGACTCCTGTGGTGGCTGAGGTCCAGAGTGGGCAATCGCCTGGCTCAGGTTGCACAGCACAGCGAGGATTCTTCCGGTGCCCAGCTGCTTGTCTCGGTCCCGCCGAGGCTTGGCCTGGCTTTAAAAAGCAGAGAGCGGCGAGGGCCAGCCTATTTCCCGGGGAGCTGGAGTCTGGGAGGGGGTGTGGCGCCGAGAGCTTTTGCTTCTTTCTCCTGCCAGGGAGGCTGGATGTAGGGTTTGGGCTTCTTCCAGAACTAGACGAACTGACGACAAGGGAAGAGAAGCTGGCTTCCCAGGCTGTCTCCCCCGTCCCAAACTTTTCCTCCCAGGCGGAGGGTGGATGGGCGAAGGGAAGAAGCGGGGCCGGGAAAGGTGGGGCCAGCCGTTCCCGTTCCCTCCCCGCCAGGCTGCCGCGGCTCTGGAATGCCAATCGGGACGCTGCTTGGTGAGTGTGTCTTTAAATCCGAGACCCCCGCCCCCTTGGCGGCTGGGGCCGGGGCTCGGGCTGGCCGGGCGGCGGCGGGCTCGGTGATTGGCGGCCTGGCCGGATCCGCCCCTCGGCTTGGGGGTCGTGGGGCACGCGGAGCGGAGCGGAGCGGCGCGGCGCGCTGCGGCTGAGGCGGGTAGCTCTCTTCGCCGGCGAGCGCGGGCTCCTTCTCTCGTGGCCTCGCCTCGTCGCGCCCGGCCTGCCAGCCTCCGGAACCGCCTCTGCCCACGGATGGGCTGGGGAATTTGGGAGGAGCCAGCCGGAGCCCGCGCCGGGCGCGACCCGCCGCTGCCTGACTCGGCGCCCGCTGTTCGGGCGCAGCGCGCCAGCCGCAGGAGCGCTGATGCCCCGGAGCCGCGGGCTGACAGGTACCGACGCGTCCGGACCTGGGCTGGCGAGGGAGGGCCGATTCAGGAGTTCTCTGGGCACTCCCGGGCCGGGGCTGCTCGGACCACCCACTCCCCATCCCCCAGATCGCACGCCTCCCTGGGCTCCGCGGAGAAGAGAGGTCCTGGGCTCCCACCCAAACCCGCGCGGGATCCTTGCCTGGGAGAGAAGCGGAACCTCACATATTAAACAGTGAGGAGTTATTGAGTCGTTCTGTCTGTCCGGCTCTGGGCTACCGACTTCCTCGAGGAGGTTTCCCTCGGACTGGGGTAGATGTGAGCTGGCGACACCTCCACTCGTAATGGCTAGGCCTGGGGCAAGGCCCAAGAGCTGGGCTTCCTGTGCAGCTGCGGCGAGGCAGGACGCCTCATGATCCACACTTGGGGTCCCTGGGCTCCTCTTTAGGGGCTTGAGGCCCATGGCACCGGGAAGAGTCCAGAGAACCCAGTGGGTGCAAGCTTTGATGCTGGGCCTCATCTGGTCCTTTCCTTCTGTAGGCCTGGGTCTCCGAGGGGAGCTCCCTTTTCATCTTCAGAGGTTTTTCCTGAAGGGGCAAGAGGCCTGTCAGAAAGCAGAGTGCAGTGTGCGGGAGACTGTTTCCCTGGACTTTCGAAAGTGGCCAGGGTGGTTGGAACCTGTTCTTATCTCTTGGGGAGTCAGAAATGGAAGAAAAGCTCCCCGACTTCAGGAAGCTTCCTAGCTTCCCTACTCTCTCGACCAGAATTCCAGGCACCGACTCCTTGGCTTCCTGCAGAGCAACCTGGACCCGTGACTGAGCATTTCTTAAATGCCAGGGAGGGTGGGAGTGGTGGAAGGTGTTGGAGGGTTCTCCCCTTAGGTGGCTCAGCCCCACGGGGGGAGACAAGACATAAACACAAAGAAAGTTCGCTAATACAGGGTTTCCATCCCAGTTCCGGACTAATAGTAATGCTAGTGGAAATACCAAGAGCATACACACGAGTAATTGCTGAGTGAGTGATACGGTCTGCAGTTGCTAGGGGAGCTGGGATGCAGTTCTCAGGCAGCCGTGCAAATATGTTTAAAATGTTCTGTCTCCATACCCATCCTTTGTGATTATCGTGCTAGTGGTTAGGCCCTCTCACCACTTCCGTGGACAGGGCGCAGCTGGAGTGTGCCCCAGCCCCACTCCCAGGTGTTTTTTGTTTTTCTGCTGGTGGATTTCTGAAGAAGCACGTTTGGTTTCTGGGGTCAGGCTCTAACCATAGGACTCTCCCAGCCTTCTTGGGGCTCATGAGGTTTAGGGTCTAGATCCAGCCTTACAGGAGGAAGTCCTCTCTTCCTTTCGGAAGAGGCTCTATCGATGG